GTACTCAACAGAAAATGGCACTGTAGTCTTCCAAAAACATACTACTCATGTCTCATCATGAGATAAACATCAAACAAATTACATTAGAGGGACATGCTATAATATATATATATAACCACTCTTCAAAACCATCAAGATCATCAAAAACAAGAGAAAGTGGAGAAACTGTCAAAGCCATGAAGAGACTAAGGAGATATGATTACATGTATGTGGTATCTGAAATAGGATCTTGGAATTTAAAAAAAAAAGCCCATTAGGTAAAAGCTAAGGAAATAAGACTAAGTACAGAATTTAGTTAATAATAATAGAGCAACACTGGTTCATCAATTGTTTATAAATGTTTCACACTAACATACTATGTTAATAATAAGGGAAACTGGGTGTCAAGTATATGGGAACTCTAACACTATCTTCACAACTTTTCTGTAAATCTAGAATTAATTTAACATAAAGCCTACTTGAAATTATAATTGAATTTAAAAGGAAATACTTTTAGATAGTTGACAGAGTATTGCTAATCCTTGATAATCTAGGAGGAACTTCTCTCAGACCCCAGTGTTAGAAGTAGTTCTACTCCTGGACAGCAATTGGGTTCTCATCTGTTCACGCAGTTCATCTTGATTATGTTCTCACTTTTTCTTTGGTGACTAAGAAGTTTGGAAACAAATCTGTTGGTAATTAAGAAGAACCACATAGTTCCTATGGTGTTCTTAACTTTATGTTATTCTATTAATATTTCACTCCATTGTGATTTCATTCCATTTTTAACATCTTTATCACTGTTTTTATCTTCTATTACTAGTCACTTCAAATCTCTTTAGGGAGATTTATATGCATATATGGTTTTGTCTGATTACACAAAATTTTACTATACAAATTTCTGACTTCCCATTTCTCACGTTACCAAAATTCTGGACTATTAGCCACTAAAGGCTATGATGTGGCAAATTACTAAAACATGGAGCTTCAGTTCTTGAATGGTAAAATGGTGATAACATTACCTGTTTTACCTGATGGTTAGGAGGACTAATGGGGTTCACACTTGTTAAAATATTAGCTCAGATACAGAGAATGCACTCAATAAATGATGATGATGATGATTATATAAATCACTATTAACAAAAATAGCAATAACTATTTTCATCAATATAATGAAAAGAATGGGTTTCCCTGGTGGCTCAGTAGTGAAGAAGCCACCTGCCAGTGCAGGAGGCACAGGAGACGCAGGTTTGATGCCTGGGATGGGACGATCCCCTGGAGAAGCAAATGGCAACCCATCCAGTATTCTGACCTGGAAATCCCGTGGACAGAGGAGCCTGGTAGGCTACAGACCATGGGGTCGCAGAAGAGACACACCTTAGCAACTAGAACAACAACGATGAAGAGAATGGAGCTGACTTACAAATTAACCAAAGGCCAGAGTGATGCTTTTCTCAGTGACCCAGATAAACAAGAGTAGCTGTCATAGTTTGGAGGATAAAATCAATAAATAAAGGGTGCAGGGCAAGCAAGAGAAGACAGAAAAACAGATAAGAGGAAGAGGAAGACTTCTTACACAGTCACTGCCAAAAACAAGTCTGAAGGCTTAAGACAAGGTGAAATCTGATCACTTTTTAGCTATGACTCCATTAGAATAATAAAGAAAAAATAAAGGAAAAAAAACCACCCTCTAGCCTTTTTGGCACCCATTTACCAAAAAGCTCCCAAAACAATCACAATAAGAGCCAGATAAACACCAAATCTGACCCTCTCATTGGCGCAGAGGATGCCAAGTTCATTTTCCACTGCCCAAAGTTTGTTTGGCATTGGTACATTCAAACACAGATCCTCATCTTCCTTATTCTAGAAGATGGACAGACAATGGGGAATTTTCATTACAAGAACTATGAATTCTTTAAATCCTATGTGCTACACATTTTAGCCACAGTACCTCTAACCCTAATCGGATGTCCAGATGAGGATCTGAATTTGAGTTGGGGAGATCAGTAGTAATTTCCTCCAGTTTCTCACAGACAGTACATGGCAGAGACACTGAACCCAGGTCCCCTGACTACAAGGGTTTCCCTCTTTCTGCTATGCCAGAAACTTAATGCAAAGATTCCCTGCCAAAATCGATAAAGAAAACTAAATAAAATTGCTAATTCTTTCAAAAACTTTCTCAGCACTATGTCAGAAGTTTTTCCGTCACCTCATTCAGTCAGTCCATACAATAACTCCATGGAGTAAGTACTGTCATTCCCCCAATTATGTTTATAATTGAGAAAGCTCAGAGGTTTCCTATTTCACCCTGATCATACAAGTTGAAACAGAGAAGAAAGAAAGAAAGAAGAGTTTGAAGAAATAATAGTAAAGACAGATGGAAGAGACATGTGCTAGGGTGAGGGCAACCGTCTTAACAAGAGGAATGTGATTCCCAGGGTCCAAGGTCTGTGGCTCAGCTTTTCAGGAAAGGGAAGCTGGAAGAGGGGCCTCTGAAGGTGCTGGCGAGTACAGGCAAAGGGTGGGCAAGGGGTCTGCAAATTCATACTAAGTACAATGAGTCATGAGTGTCTCAGTCAAGGAAAAAATGGCACGGATGACTGGACTAGTCAGTAAGTCATTTCTGAGCACTAATCTTTCTGCATCCTCAGGGTTTCAGATTGTCATGGGTGGGCAATGAAAGCCCCCAAGCATGGTCTGATAAGCCAACCAGAAGTTGTCCACTTTTAAATTCACCAAATTAATTTGATTCTTTAAAACACTTCCAATCCTTCACAGGAATGGACCAACTTACCATCACATATTACTTCCATGTACTCTTTAGGCACTGTTGTCCCAACTTGCCTGACCATATAACTACCTGGGGCCTTTGTTAATCACACATATTCCCAGGTATCCCATGTCGATTCTGATTCAGTAGGCTTAAAACTGGAAGTCCTGGGTATTTGGGCTTTGAATGATCCAGCTGATTCCTATAAGCAGGCTAGTTTGGAAAAAACTGTTTTAATAGGACTTTGCCAATAGGCTTGCAAGGTACATTTTATAGATAAGGAAAGAGAGACACAGAGAAGGGAAGGCCATGCCCAAGATCACCAAACTCTTGTGTGGCAGAACTGAGGATAAGTTATACTGTAACTCCACAGCAGATATGCCTGCCACAGCATTTGAATCTATCTGAGCCAGATCTAGTTTCAAAAGCAAGCTTCCTGGTGTCTTAACATGGCATCAGACACTTGGAAATGGGGGTGTGGACAATCTAGCACCATCAGAAAAAAAACAAGGGATAGTTAGGGAGCTTGGAATTGACAGTTAAAATAACCAACGAGGACCTAGTGTGCAGCAAGGGGAATTCTGCTCAATGTCACGTGGTAGCCTGGAGGGCAGGGAGTTTGGGGGAGAATGGATACATGTATATGTATGGCTGAGTCACTCTGTTATACACCTGAAACTATCACAATATTATTAATCAGCTAAATAAAAAGGTTTAAATAAAAAACAAAACAAAACCCAGGAAGACATCATTACACTGGACTGATTAACACCCAAGGAAAGAAAAGGAAAATTGAGGTCCTCTGCCATCTTTAGTTCTGCTTTTAAGTCCTCAAGGCTTGTAGGCGAACGGATTGTTACTAATACCCACACTATTAGCACTGCTTTGACTTCTAGGTTCATTTGGCTAAATTAGTCAAAACACTTCCTTCACTACTGCACAAAAATAGAGGGGAAAAAAACTGGAGAAAGGCCCTTCCTGAAATAACTGTAGACAATCAATATCACAACAAAAGAGGAAGGTCCAGATGAGACATTCACCCAAACTCCAGCTCCTCATTGATGGTAACAGATGATGGTGACTAATGGCAAGTTCTGGGGTCAAGTTCAGACCACTGCTCCAGAGCCCTCACCCCAGAGAAAGGTGGGTACATGAGGTCTGCCAAGGCCATTTTTATATGCATGTGAATCCCCTCTACTCTAGCGTTTCACTAAGAGGAGGGGAGAATTCAACAAAATGAAATGTATCTTGTGAAATGTATCTTCTACTTTCCGGAAGGCCCTGCCACTGAATGTATACTATACTCTCATCAACTCTCCACTAGGAAAGCCCAAATCACACAAAGTGAGACAAACAGAAAGAGCACAGGGAAGAAGGAACTCCCCATCCCAGCTTCTCATTAGTTTGAATAGAAAGGAAAATGGAGAATATTTAAAAGAGATGAATTTAAGATACACCTAAATATATACACTGAAGCAGGTTTATGTGTCCTTTGGGAAATGATCTTCTTTCTTATATGCAATTATGAGTCATTTCCAAGATAAGAAGACCCCTGCCCTTGTGCAGCCCCTGAAATTTGAGGTCAAGATGACAACAGGTTTGCATGCTTTGAGAGGTCATGCCCTATCTGTCCAAATATATGCACATCTGTGCACACATCCACTCTGTTTACTGCAGCAGCTGCAATCACACTTGAGTATTTTTTTTAATTGTCAGGTGTGTGCCAGATAGCACATGACTTATGTATGACACTCAAAATTTACTGAGAAATACTATTGATTTCAACATATATACCTTTATACTCTGGGATGATTCAAGTACATTGATACAAAAAGCAAAATAGCTTCATTAACACACCGATCTAGTTAAAGCTAAAATCAGCTTCCGTTAAAAAACGTATCTCTTGCCTTAATTTTAGGGGCCTAAAATGTTTCTTTTCTTCATCATGTAAAAAAGTGGCTTTGGAAAAACAGTCACATTTCACAAAGGACTATTCACATCTCCTTTAAATGTGTCCAATTTTAATGAATGGTCTTCACCTTGGATACACACATTCCAGGCCTCATAAAAACAATGGTGTTTGGGCATGTGCAGTGGAGGTGGAAGATGGATTCAAGATGTTTCAAGTATGCAAAATCACATGCAGATGTACAAACAGTACAACCAGTCAAAGCGAATTAAGAAAGCAATATATATACAGACACCCAAGAATGGATGAACACAAATAAAATTCAACTTGTAATTAACATACCGTGCTGTGACACCTGTTGCCTTCCACGATAAGAAGTCTGGGAGATCAAAGAAATGTCCCGCCTTATCCCAGCAAGTCTCTCTCAAGTTCTGCCAAATTAAATATATATTAGAATCAATTACGGGCTTTTTTTCTCCTCCTCTCCTCTCTCAATAATGTTTCAAAATTTTCAAAACAAAAGCATAGCCAACAATGCCCAAGAAAACATCTGTGCAGGGTCTGGGAAGTGGTGGTGGGGAAGGGAGTATAAAAGCAGTACACAGGAAAGAAAAATTGGCAATTATTGATCCTTTCAAAAATGACTATAATTTCCCTTTTATTCCTCTTTGCCAATCTGGAGTGGGAAGAAGTACACTTTGCAAGGGTATGCAATCCATCTTTCCAGTGAAGGGCAAGGGGATACCTTTCAAGACATACAAAAAGACTTCAAAGCTGAACAGCTGTGAACTGGGGAGAAAAATCACACTAGAAAACTACCTGATGAAATGAGATGTGTCCTGCCATAAAAACTTCTCCCCACGCTGACAGGTTCCAAAAACAACAGGAATGATAGCCCCTTGTCCACAAAGAACTTCCAATCTAAGCCAGAGAGAATGGTACTGTATCAACCTATCCTTATACCTTTTTAAAATATTTGTTGCTTCCAATTTCTTCCACATTGCCAATTTGGCCAGATTTTTTTTTCCCCCTTACCACCAGGCTTTTTCTTTTCTCTGCCACCTGTGTCTGGAACCCTCCTTCCTCACTTACCACGTTGTTTCCTCCCAGGGTTCACGCTGCCCTGCCCCTTTTGGTTAACCAGACCCACCCTTCCCTAGGGAGGTCATCCAGAATCTCCTCCTCAGTGGGGGTCTGGCTGTCATACAACCCCTATCACCTCACAAGTGAAAGTGAAAGTGAAGTCACTCGATCGTGTCAGACTCTTTGCAACCCCATGGACTGTAGCCTACCAGGCTCCTCCATCCATGTGATTTTCCAGGCAAGAGTACTGGAGTGGGTTGTCATTTCCTTCTCCAGGGGGGTCTTCCTGACCCAGGGACCAAATCCAGGTTTCCCACATTGTAGGTAGATGTTTTTACCATCTCAGTCACCAGGAACTATCATCATCTCACAAATATCTGTATAATGTTCTTCTCTCCTGCTAGACTGTAAGCTCCATGAGGCCAAGGACCTTCTCAGCTTCATGAACTGTAATATCCCACGATTGTCTTCTCTCCTCCCCCACACAGGACTGGACCCTTAGTTGTGAGATGCAAACCACATGACTCCAGTCCCAGTCTGGAGGCTCCCCCAGGTGTAGAAGACAACACACTTACTGGACAAGGGACAGACATGTGACCTAGCTGGGCCAATTTGATTCCTTCTCCCAGAAATTTAGAATTGGGATCCAATTAGAGTCATTTAACTTCTGCCTTTGAGTGGAACAGGAGGTGAGATAAAGCTGGAAACTGTCAAGTGGCCATTTTTTGCCAAGGACCTGGAGAAGTAGGACTTCATAAAGAGAAGAGTAATGCAGACAAGTGGCAGCAAGAAAGGTTTCCTACTATCCAGGCAACTCTCCGTGTCCTGGTTTCACTTATCCCCTCTCCAAGAGGCTACAACAAAAATGAATGCACCAAAAGCTTAAGGGTATCTTTGGGAACCCAGAGGCAACAAGGCAGAAACTCCAAAAGAGACATATTCCAGTATCAGCGAGCAGGTGATGTAGAGCAGACATTCAATAGATATGGGTTGACCAACCAGACAAACTGCTCGTTTTCACCTTTCAAACTTTCTCAGGTGAGGGGGCACTTCAGACTTTACAAAGGGTTTTCATGTGTGTTATCTCCATTGCTTGTGGTTTAGTTGCTAAGTTGTGTCCAACTCTTTGCGACCCCATAGACTGCAGCCCACCAGGCTTTTCTGTCCATGGGATTTTCCAGATAAGGACCCTGGAGTGGGTTGCCATTTCCTGCTCCAGGGGATCTTCCTGAAGCAGGGATCAAACCCGCATCTTCTGCATTGGCAGGCAGATTCCTTACTGCTGAACCACCAGGGAAGCACCACGTGGCATACAAAAGTCCCAAGCGCTGCTCTATCTACTTTACAGACACACCACTGGCTTTCATCTACATTTGCCCTCAACTTCTATGAGTTCTTCCTGTTTTCTCCTTCCCCATCTCAACTTTCAGAACACAGACACTCACAGCAGAGAAAATGAGTATTAACCCAGAACAGGGTCCCATTAAAACAACACTAACATCAAAAGGGCTCAGATGTAAAAGGCAGTATTAAGCCCATTTTCTGTTACTGCTGGTTGTTTTAAATTCCTAAGCATTTGGGTGAGCGCTTACATGTAGAAAGGGCTTCCCTGGTGGCTCAGATGAAAGAATCTGGCTGCAATGCAAGAGACCTGGGTTCAATCCCTGGATGAGGAAGATCCCCTGGGGAAGGGAATGGCTACCCGTTCCAGTATTCTTGCCTGAAGAATTCCATGGACAGAAGAGCCTGGCAGGCTACAGTCCATGGGGTCACATAGAGTTGGACACTACTGAGTGACTAACACATTTTCACTTTACAAGCAGAAAGGGCTAAACTTTGCTTTGAACACCCATACATCTTAATGGTTAAAAAAGTAACACTTAAAAAGTTAACTAAATAGACCAAACGTAGTTCTGAACTAGCAGTACCTTTGTATACTAACAGATCACAGCCAGGAAATGGTAGCCTTTGACATGATGAGTCAAATGACTAGTCTGTCTTCTGGGTAGTCCTCCAGACTACATGCCCTGTGGTGTCAGTGATCAGTTCTCAAGGAGAAATGGCAGCCTCCTCCTAAAGACTCCAGAAATTCAAGGCCAATCAGAAAAAAACCATGAAACGGCTGCAGCCACTATCAATGCTACCAGCCAAAGCCAGGCAATCTTCCTCCACTAGGAAAACAACTGCTTCTGTTACATCTAGTATACAGTCATTACAGACCTGAAGAATCGGAGCTTTCAGCCTGTGGCCAGGCAGACAGGCCGCTGTGGACAACGGAACCTAGGCAGTACGTCTCAGGGAGAACTTCAGGCCTCTGGCCAGAAAGAGAAACTTCAGGGGCAGGAGGGGCAAGGCAACCTGGTGGGTCACCTTTTCTTGAGACAATGCCAGCATCACCAGGCAAAGTCAGAGATCCCAGCTCAAACTCTCCATAGAATGAGACACCAGAAATGGTATCATATTAGGAGTGTGGAGTATCCTTAAGAATGCCTGTGGTCTCGGGAGAGAAGACAGCAGTATATATATACTCCCTGTCTTCTCCACAAAAGCAAAGTCTGCAACTCAGCCAGAAAAGGAGAGGGGGCAAGCATATGCTTGGATGAAAGGGATGCTCTGAAAGCCCGATCCCTTACTGGGAGATGTTGACACTGCTTACCAGGCTCCCATGATGTTCTTAGGTTGGGCTACATGATTCACAAGTGTTTAGTCATCACATGGCAGACTGGCCAAGGGCCTATTACCCCCTGTGGATGGATTTTTAATCCAGTTCTATGAGAAAATCTCTCCATCTCTGCCCCTCCCCAGTCAGTAGAGTCCCACCCCAGGGTTTCAATCTTACTGAATTAATTCTACCTTTGGAACCACTGGGCCTGCATCAGACCAGTGACTGTGCTCCTAGATTCTCCGACAGCTTACAACAGTGCCCCCGTCTCAAGACAGTGCCTTGTCTCATTGGATTCTCAGGATGGTTCAGAGGTTGTAGGTGATACACAATAGTCCACATGTCAAGGATATAGAAACTGATGTTCATGTGATAATACTTTGCCCACAGTCAGAGACTTTGCCCAAAATTGCTCAAGACTTTGCCCAAACCTGCTCTAAAGTGAGGGTTCCTTTTTTCCACCAGGCCACAGTCACCAACCTGAAGCTCCCTGTTTCATCAGAGCTGTGGGTTTTGACCTTTTGAAAGCATTATGATAGAAGCTATTGCTGACAAAGGTTGGTATATAGTCAAAGCTATGGTTTTTCCAGTAGTCATGTAGGGATGTAAGAGTTGGACCTAAGAAAGCTGATGCTTGAGAAGACTCTAGGAAGTCCCTTGGACAGCAAGATCAAACCAGTCAATCCTAAAGGAAATCAACCCTGAATATTTATTGGAAGGACTAATGCTGAAGCTTCAATAATTCAGCCAACTGATGAGAAGAGCCAACTAAGATCCAGATGCTGGGAAAGACTGATGGCAGGAGGAGAAGGGAGCGACAGAGAATGAGATAGTTGGATGGCATCACTGACTCAAGGGACATGAGTTTGAACAAACTCCAGGAGATAGTGAAGAACAGGGAAGCCTGGTGTGCTGTAGTTCACTGGGTCACAGAGAGTCAGACATGACCCAGTAACTGAACAGCAACAACAAGAACATTAAATTTCAGAGATTTCACTTTCAATCCTGGGCAACTCACTTAACTTCTATATCCTTCAAAACCCTCATAACACACAAATGGTACATGGGCTGGAGTGAACACAGAGCAGGTCCCCATCACAAGATGTGTAGATACATCTCATAATGTGGGCACTGAATCCAGTTCAAACTAGGAGGTCTCTGTGCTGAAGGAGTTAAGTCTCTCCTACAGTTACCAAGCAACATACAAAAAGTAGCATTTTCAAGAAAAAAAAAAAAAAGAAGAAATCAGGGGTTATTGGGGTGTGTGACTTGGCAAACAAGGCTTTTGCATTCCAATAACAATCCTTTGAGCTAAGCAATCCCTTAGGCTTGGAAGCCACCAAACAGAACAACTCTTTTTTTTTTTTTTAATCATCTATTACTTCATTAAAACCACAGCCTTTCTTGGGAGGAGATTACCACTCAAAGCACACACAGCTTTGGGTCTCAGCAGAGGCTGGAGGTGGAGTAGCAAATCCAAGGTTCAAGGCCAGGCAGCAACCAGCCTACCAGCTTTCACCCTTTCCTTCTCACTGCCATGTCCAAGGAGGCAGTGAGGTCTCCGCTGGCTTCTAGATCTTCTAGATGCCAAGGGAACTTTGGGATAAAATGAAGCAGATGCTGCAATGTATGTCGGAAGATGCCAGGGTCCAGGAACAGCATGGGAAAGTAGGGGTGACCAGTTAA